AAACATAATTACTATTTACTGAGTTGTATGTCTATCTATTTATGATAAATATATGTTAACCTAAAGCATGAAGATGAAACCTCAGACTTCCTGGCAAAAATATCATCCAACGTAAAGTTCTCTCCACCCCAAATCTCTTTCCTCCCTTGCTTTGGCCTTCGACCCAGTGCTGTTATTCTGGTTAGCAAGGCAGTCGCATCCCTTTGTGTTCTCTAGCCTATCTCCGCTCACTCTCTGTGAGCAGTTATCTACTCCTGCATAGCCACTCCCGTCCATTGTCACTGGCTCCTTATGCTTTAATAATTATAAGTGTAGCTCAGGCTAATTGAGGGTTTGTTGTGAGTCAGATCCGAGCCAAGTGTTTCATACACACAGTCACCTTTAATACTTCCTCATAAAGAAGATGTGATTATTAAATGGAGAAGGAAACAGAGAGTTTAAGGAACTTGTCCAAGTGACAGTTACATGATGGAGTTGAGACTGAAACTTAGAAATTTGCTCCCAGAGGCTGTTCTTATAACCCCTTGACTTTGCCTGCACACATGCAGAATGTTGGCTGGACCCTGCTACTCCCCTCCGTGTACTTGCAACCTCATCCTTAGCTTTCACTGCCAAAGTGACCCCACATTTCTCTCCAGCCACAGCCTCTAACTCTTCACAGACCATGCACTCAGGCCCTTGTCTTCTGCCTCACACTCTATAAAAATTGATCTCTGAATGGTCACTAATGGTCAAATCCAGCAATTTTTTCTTGTGCAGTGCTTCATTCTATTGACTCTGTACCTCTTCTTGAAACATTTTCTTCTGAGCCATATATGTTTCTAGTTTCTCCTGCAACCTCTCTGACCACTGTGTCTTTTCCTATTGGCAGATACTGCTAATTCTAGGTCAATTTGGAGAAAAATCCTGTCTCTATAACCAAGAAGGCTGAGACACCAATGGGCCAGGGCAGAAGATGACTGATCAGTTTCCTGAGACTGTAGGCTGCAGCTTAATTTTGGGTGCAAATGCAACCAAAAAGTGTCTAATACAAAGTCCTGTAGTCAGAAGATATTTTGAAGGCAATTTTAAATTACCTGAAGTAATTAGAGCCAGAAAGTATGCGTTCTGGAGTCATTCATTCTGATTGGCTTCCTAGCATCATCAGCTATGAGCTATGTGACTTTGCAAGGAAGGCAGCCTCTCGCAGTTTCCTCTGTATAAAATGGCTCTAATAATACCATAGGGTTGTAGTACAGGGGTCAATCTATTGGGCTGTTGTGAGGGTTAAATGAAATAAATGAGTGCTGGATAAAAGCTCATTATAATTTATTCATTTGATTATTTGCTCATCAAATATATATTGGATGCCCACTTTGTGTCAAGCATACTCTGGGTGCTGGGGAGACAGTGTTCTCCAGGTACAGACACAACACCTGCTCTCGTGGAGTTTTACGGTCTAGCTGGGAAGATCGCTGTTTAATAACGCTCCCCTTCATTTACTTAGATCAAGGCTACTGATAGGGAGTGGTGGGAGATGAAGTTGGAAAGACAGGATTTGTGAGATTTGAAGAATCACGTGGGCCAGTTTGGGGACAGCATCCTAATCTGGTTGGTCACCGCTGAAGGTTTCCTGCAGGGAAGTGATATGAAGCTGCTGTTTTCGGAGGATGGGTTAGAACTGAATGAGCGAGACTAGTAAGTATGGCCGATTATGGGCTCATTAATTAGCCATTAGTCTTTGTGAGAATTATGAAGATCTGAGCTAGTACTTTGGCAGTGAAGTTGGACAGAAAGGTTCTGAGAGTTATTTGGGGATAGAATTATCATGGTACTTTCCCAAGTTCTCACTGGTTTCCTCTACACATCGACTTCCTCCGAGTTCCAGCACCTTTAGAGGCCAACAGAATTTATACCTCTCCCCTCAGTCCAAATGGACAGCCCCCACCCCTCGCCCCTCTCTCATTCCTAGCTTGCCAACTAGCATTTTTCTACTGGCTTTCCTGTCCTTCTCCTCAGGGCTTTCACGACACTGAGCTGCCCCCTAGTGGAGACTGATGATTTATAACAACACAGTTTTTACAATTCATGCAACAAATCATTTGTATGTTTAACTGAACCAGGCATATACTTTAATTTTCAAAAACAGAAACTCTATGTCTAGGATACAAGAAGACTAGGAAATATTAGTCTAATAACATTAGATCAATATTTTAAGTAATATCACCCAAATGGGGTTGAGAAAGCACTCAGAAACATCAAGTGACTATGTAGGAAAACTATCCACCTTTACCATTTTCTGTGTAGTTAAGTCCCAGTAGAGATTTTTGAGGAGCCTGAACAGAGAGGGCTTTATTTTGTGTCCTATGGGAAAAGGACCCAATATTGCCAAATCCTTCCATTTTTAAAAGAGAAGCTGGAAAGCCAATGAATTCATGAAATATTCTAGTTTTCACAATGTTGTACAATAATTTTAAAAGAAAAAATGAATTCTGTAGTCACCTGTTTTCAAGTTCTGCATGCTAGACCACCAATTTCCAAATGGTAGTCCATAATTACTAGTGATCATGGGCAAAGTTTTGCTGGTTGACAATAAATTTTTTAAAAAGATGTCGTTTGTTTACTTTTAGAGGGGAGGGAGAAAAAGAGGGGAAGAAACAGCAATGTGTGAGAGGTACGTCAATCAGGTGTCTCTCACGTGTCCCCAGCTGGGGATCTGGTCCGTGACCCAGGTACATGCCCTGCCTGAGAAGAATTGGCAACCCTAAATCTACTGAATCACACCAGCCAGGGCAATTTTTTTTTTAAAAAAAGGACAATGGGATAAATTTTTCCATATGGCTAAATATATCTAGTATATTGAACTGCTTTCACCCTGTGATGATAGCCTTATATATCTTGTTAAAATAGTCTTGGTTTGGATTTGTATTTAGCTTTTACTTAAAATATGTTTTATTTTATGAAATGATGCTATAACTTCTATTGAATTTAATTGAGAAAAGTAAGAGTTGGTGACTTTACATTGTCTTATTATATTTAGTTTTGTTGTACTGGTTATTTAAATCTAAGTGTCTGGGCATCACAACACAATTATGTGTTTAAATAACACTAACCCCAACCCTAGACCCTAGCAATTGATGTGGAAAAAGTGTTGGGTGGAGAGAAATTTGAGGTCTAGAAGTGTGACTGTCACAGAGTGTGAGAACCCAAAGGAACTTCTGCTTCACTCCTTCGTTTGGTAACTGAGGGCACAGACTCCCGACAGGAACGAACTCACCCGTGGTCACCCAGGAGGTAGTAGCAGAACCTCACTACAGCCCGGTTTCCTGAAACCAGATCCATGGTCTTTCAACTAACTGCTCTGATCATTTCTATGTCAGCCAGATGGTACCCAAGGCCCTGCTGAGCCCGAGCGGTGACGAGGCCCGGTAAAGGGAAGACTTCGGGGTAACAGGAAGGGTGATTTTTGTAACTGCAATATTTACTGCAATTGTGAACCCCTGTAACACGCTCATTTCATTCTGGGGTATAGAAGTTTGCCCCTTCATCTGCTATTGAGTTGACTTTTCTTTAGGATGTTTCTTTCATGAGTAGGTCTTGGGAGTTAAAAGTATCTTACTTTTAAAAGCTCACTTACTATAATATTTGGCTGTGTTAGAACATGAGCTGATTAGCAAATGTACCACTTGACTTGCTCACTGGTTTGTCTCACTGCTGCAGGCGCTTATGTTCCCAAGTCTGTGTCCTTTAAAATTGTTTTCTTATTGTTTAGTCTTGTGTGTGTGTGTGTGTGTGTGTGTGTGTGTCTTATATCACCAACCAGTGAACAAATTTCACATGATTAGTAGTAATGTAGCTCATACTTTTCTCCGCTAGCAACTGTGGCAGGCACAGTGTACAGGTTTGCCCTTGTTAACAAATTAAAGAATGCCTTAATAAGCAATACTAATAACCTTCATAAATTGAGCACCTTGTACATACTAAGTATTATTCTAATTGCTTTTTTTTTGCATAATTAAAATCAGTCCAAAGATGTTTACTGTTTTGCCTCCCACGTGCCCCATGTTATATGCTGGGGATAAGGTGGGGATTGAATCCTGTAGCCTCTGACCACATGGAGTTTATAGCCTGAACTTCAGTGCCTTCCCTCACTCACTGCTGCTTCACCCCCTGACTCCTGCTAGGCTGAAACACACAGTTATAAATAATTAAGAAAATAGTTATAGTTATGCTAATTGCTGCAAAGAAGTGCTGGGGTCAGGAAGGACACAGAAAAGATGAAAATCAAGTTATGACATGAAGGATAAACAAGCAGTTAGCGAGGTTAAGGGAGGAGAAACAGTGTGTTGTTCAGAGGGAGCAGTAAGGGCAGAGGCCCGGGAGGAAGTAACTGAACAAGGGGTATTGAACAATGAAGAGAAGTGCACAAGGAGAGCAGAGAGGAAAGTGGCAGGATGACTTCTGCTTCAGTCTTGCCATTAAACTCCCATCATGCTTTGCAAAGCTCTTTATAATGCTTTCTAAAAGACATCTAGGTGCAGTCGATTACATAGTTTATATGTTATTTATCTTAAATAGGTCTTTTCCCACTGTGTCAAGTTCCTGGAGCACAGGCGGCCATGCATCTTTATCCTGTCACCTAGCGCTGCCCTAAACTCCTCCAATGTGCCTACTGTATCGTCTGTAAAATCTTGCTTTTCTGACAAGAGTTACCTGCTCGTGAACACAACAACAATTTCTTCATGGAGTCGAATCTGAATGACTGCATCCATCCGTTCACTCATTCATCCCTGTGATAAACTTTTCTGCGTGCCAAGCAATTTAGGAAATCTTGCGATTCCTCAGAGACTCAGTGTTTGTTCTAGACTTAACACTAAGAATAACTGAGACCAAAAATCTCATCCACAGAGCAATATATTACTCTTAGGAAGCACTTGAATTTTGTTACTGGATAATGATTTTTCTCTTCCTGGTTTAATTATACTTACATTTAAAAATCTGCTTTGTTTTTTTCTCCTCAGCCCATCTGCCAGGCAGCCTATCAGAATGACTTTGGTCAGGTGTGGCGGTGGGTGAGGGAGGACAGCAGCCACATCAACGTCAGAGACGGCTTTAATGGAGACACCCCCCTGATCTGTGCCTGCCGGCGGGGCCACCTCAGAATCGTTTCCTTCCTTTTGAAAAGAAATGCTGATGTGAACCTGAAAAACCAGGTAAGGCCAGGACACAGGAGAGGAGGAAGTAATTGACAGTGGTAATTCGCTTCTCCTAGCATCTACGGGAGCTCATGCTCTGCTTATAGCTCCGGGTACCAACCATTTTTCTTTTAGAGAGATGACACATACTGAAGATATTTGATTGGGCTACAAAGCCAAATAAAACATAGTTCACTAAGCAGGCATATTTTATGGGGAATTATGTCCTTGTACTTCTGAAAAGGAAGAGAATAGTTCGCTCTTTTGATGGGACAGAACTTCATTTCTTTGCCTTCACCTTCCCATGCTTTTCCTTGACCCCACCCCACCCCCTTCTCTGCCAGCTCCTCATCACGGTTACAGACGTAATGGGAAATGATTTCCTGGGGAAAAATATTGACCTGCTGGTGCTATTTCATTGGGTTTTTTACCTTCTATGTCAATATACTGATCCTTAGAAGGTTCTGTTATTTACTTACAGAATAAAAGAGTGCTAGTAAAAAAAATGCCAAGGACAAGTAAGCTCATGAACCAGAGGTTACCTGAAGCGTCTGTAACCTTAGTGCCTTAGAAAGGCACTAAGGATGCAGATGTGGAGTCTTCTGTCAGGGAGAACAGAATACGTGTCCATTGCTGTGAAGGTCCTTTCAGAACCCGTTTGGAACTTCCAACGCCTGCATCCTAGTAAAAGCAACCTTTAAAGTACCGGAGTAAACATAAAAAGTCATTATTTGTAATAATTATGAATGCCCTGTGTTCATTCATGTTCAGTGAAGAAAAACAGCCTGTGGGGTCCCCTTCCAAGTTAGCTTAAAGACCTACCCATTTAGAGCAATACTATATTATCAGAAAAATAAACCAGTGCTGAACTTTCTTATCTGTGAGATATATATACATGTAATTCTATTCTATTATTATTATTTTTTGCTTGGTTGAATTTCAAAGCCAGTCATGCCTGTTCTAAATCTGACAGATCTACAATAGAGCAGGACACGATCTCCTAGCTGAAGAACCAGGTGGTGGGGTTGTGGTGAGACCGGGTGGCAAAAACAGACATCGAGGGGTCCACATCCTCTCTCAAGAGACTTACTATTAGGAAGCTGATAGAAGGAGATGCTTGCCAGCACAGGGACGGGGCTGAGGAGGCACTCATATCTGTTTTGCAGAGAACCTGAGCCAGCTTCCTGGGGTCCTCTCATGTTACAAATATCGTGGAAAAGACTTCAGTGGGTACTTTAGGTTAATAGAGGTTTTAGCAGAATAACTGGTGTGCACTTCCTATTTTAAAAATATTTTAATGTTTTTAAAGTATTTAAGCTTTTCATATTTTTCTCAAGTATAATCTTTGTACATTAGTGATTTGAACCAGTGCTTTCTCATTTCTTAAATTTATGAGTTATTTTTAGCAAGGCGAAATAAAGGCCTTGAAAACAAAGAGCTCTGCTGGTGATTTGGATGCACAGGCTTAACAGAGAACACTGATTCTATGGAAGGCAAATTAAAACCTAAAGATAGCCCTGGCTGGTGTGGCTCAGTGCATTGAGTGCCAGCCTGCAAGTCAGAAGGTCATTGGTTTGATTGCATCAGGGCACATGCTTGGGCAATGAATTGATGTATCTCTCACTCATCGATGTTTCTCTCCTTCTTTCTCCCTGCCTTCCCCTCTTTCCAAAAATAAATAAATAAAATCTTTAAAAAGTGTAAAAATAGATATAGATACAGATACAGATATATAAATATATCTTGGTCTGTGAAATTAACCAGGCTTCAAAAAGAAAGCCAAGTGTTGATCAGGAAGGAGGTTTGAATGATTATTGTTTTATTAGAGTGCAATTTAGTAGCCCAATATGAAAAACAAAACTTCTTATGACTGAAATTATATTTTTAGAAGCTTATGTTAAAGACAAATGCAGAAAGGTTGACTAATCTTTAAGAAGATGTTCGTGTAGTTTTATTTATAAAAATCAAAAGTTAAAAACTCAAATGTCCAACAGGTAAGGTTTAGCTAAATAAATCACAATAGTTCTGGTCAGTAGAAAGATAAACAGCCTTTACAGCCATAGGTTTAAAAACATTAAATGGTATGGAAAATGCACGTATTCTAAATGTTAATTGAAAAAAAACAAATAATTTTGAAGATGCAGTATGAGCCTACATTTTAAAATTTCACAGTTGACTCTGGGCTGTTTGATTAATGGGTGATTTTAAATTCATTCTCTTATTATCTTCTTGCCTAGTTTACAAAACTTCTACAGGGAACATATATATCTTTATATTAGAAAAACAAAAAGACTTATTTAAGAACAGTGCCTGCCCCAAGGGGAAGTCAGCCCCTTCTTCTCTCTGGCCCTCCCTCTCCCCTCATTGATTTGGCTGGTGTTCCTGCCACAGCTGCTTTCTGCATTATACTTATTTGTGCCTGCTTCTATCTCCCTGGGTTGGTTTTGAGGCCCCAGGAATTTATATTCCTCACAATCTCTAGAAAGTTAAGTTTATCATCTGATAAATATTCATGTACTTGAATAATTCAATCGAGTTATTTCCATTCTTCTAACACTCTCTGTATGCATGTAGAAACACAAAAATTGCCACATGGTTAAATTTCTTTAATGAACAAACCACAAAATGAATAACTGTAACCACTGGTGATTGAGGGATAAAACTATAGATTTTTATACTGTGTTTAGTCCTGTGTTTATATCTTGATGTCTTATTATTTCAGTAGAGAACTAGGCAACCAAAATTTCATTCAATTAAATAAACAAATAAAACTCCTTAGGAATAAATTTTTGACCCATTTAGGACCGGGTCAAAAATACAAGAGGGAAGACGTGACGTGTTCAAGGCACAGTTGTGAAGGGTGAGAGCAAAACCGTATGTTTATAAACAGAAACAAGTTAGCTGGGGCTGTTCCCATTGTTATCACTGCTCTTACCAGCATTTGGATTTTCCCTTGACCCTTGTCCTTATCTTTCCTTAGTTTTTGCTTTAGTTTAGACAAAACTAAAATGCGTGAGAATCCTTCTTTTGATGATTTGTAAAATGCACATTCCACCTGTTACCTTTTCGAGGCCCTCCTCTGGCCTCTCCTTTAGACTGTACTCCATTCTAATCAGTGACAACCTGGGTTTCTTCGGCAAACATACTTCACAGAAAAATGGGTGGCATATGCACCATAAAAATGAAAGGCATAAAGTAAATTTTTTTGATAGGGTAGTCTTAAAGTAGGAAATTTGAAATGAAATATTTATTCATGGAGAATTCTTTCCTTGATTTGTAGAAAGAGAGAACCTGCTTGCATTATGCTGTGAAGAAAAAATTTACCTTCTTTGATTATCTCCTCATTGTCCTCTTAATGCCGGTTCTGCTTATTGGTTATTTCCTCATGGTGAGTACCCTTGTGAGAGCAAAGGCCAGTGAGCAGGAGACCCACAACATGACTGCCCCAGCTGTGCTGGCCCAGTGAGATGTAAAGAAATAGTAACAAAAGAAGCACTTGGTTTGTATTCTGTAAACGACATTTCCAATAGACATGCGATGCTGTGAAGCAAGGAGTAGCCAAACAAATTAATCAATAGTAAAATCATCTGTGTGATGTTTACTTAGGAAAAGAAATTCATCTTGCTTTAAATCTTAAGGAAGCACAAAAGTCCTGAATATTGAAAATAAAATTTCCCCTCCTATGTACTGTTTCTTTTCACTCCTCTTCATAAGAGGAGTTTGTCTTTGTACATATTTTTCTGAGTTTCTGATTATTAAGGACCCACCCTGGTTGTCAGTTAAGAAACAGAGCCCAGGAAATTTGCAGCCAGCATCTGACAGACACGGAAGATCTTGATACAGGGTGTGTGAAGCCCACCTTTCCCTCCGATGAACGTAGGCATGCAGTAATGTTGCTGAGAGAACAAAGATGTAGGTGGTATAGGAATGCAGTTCTATTATAAGAAGATGAAACTTGAGTTTTGTTGTTGTTTTTCATATAAAGCGACGACTTTGCTGTGACTCATTCACAGTTTTCCATATGGTTCTCCTGTGGCCAGTTCCGCCTTCGAAAGGTGATTCAATGGATGTGTAATTTACTCCAGTTCAATGACCAATCTCCCTTCTCTTTGTAGTTAATAGACTATGGGTGTTAGTTATTCCTATTAGCATAAGCTCCAGAATGAAGTCTATGAGTCAGAAATGTTACCACCTCCTCTGTTATTTAAATTTTTATAGAATTTGAGGAACTGCAATTAAACATGATAACATTGATTTTGATGCTTGGATTTATGGGAGAGAGAAAACTATAATTCACTGATAAACATATAATCTCCTTATATCCTTGAAAAGTTCTTGAAAAATTAGTTGTGTATTTAGTGCATAACATATAAATATTTGTAGTTTGGGGGCGGGGGGGGATCTGTGGTTCATTTCCAGACATTTTTGGAGATTATGAAAAAAACATCTATGATTAGCAAGGTTCATTCAGAATTTGTTGATGCACAATCCAGCTTTCTAAGACAGTCCAATGTTTAAAAGCTGGAAGCCTGGGCACAACTACTAATTGTGATCAATAGCCTGGCTCTGATGGCACATGAACTCTGTTTATGAATGGGGCCTGAAATGCTTAATTTGTAATGTATAAAGATTGAATGACATGAAAAGCAATTACAGGACAGAAGAAATTAAAGAGAACAGAAAGGACTGTGTTACTTCAGAAGAAGGTAGGAGAAAGTCAGTTCAGACACCGACACAAGAGGAAAGCACAGAGAAAGACCACTGGATGGAGCTTCCGAGATAATAAAGCGATGCCCTCCAGGACATGCCCTTCTGAGCAGGAAGGGCTGTGCTCCCTCAGGCAGAGATGTCGTAGATGGGGAGGGGGTGGCGGGGGTTACGATCGATCTGTCCTGTGCTCAGAATCTCAGGGGACTAGGCAGGAAAAGTGGATTTCTGAGGAGCCTACTTTGTTTCATCCTTTTGTTCAGTCAGTCAACACAAACTTACTGACCCACTACGTGCTGGCACTCTACTGGGTGTTAGGGATAAATGGTGGACCCAACAAGCAGAGTCCCAACAAGTGGACAAAGCATTCACTTTGCCCTCGGAGCAGTGGGACATCATTGGAGAGTTTAGATCCTGGGAGACAGGTCACTGCGCTTTGTTCTCAGGAGGATTTGGTGGGTCTGGAGTGGGGGCCCAGAATTTGCGTTTCTCAGTACCCAGGTTCTGGCGCTAGTCCAGGTCCACACTCCGAGAACCCTGGCTTTCCCTAATTGGTCTTAGAAAGGCTTGTAGAGGTGGGGGGATTTTTAAAAAGATCCTGGGCACATAGGGGTACTGGGATTAAAATTAAATATATTGATTGGAATAGTTTAGACATAAGATGAAGAAAATGTTTGTAAATAAACCTTGTGTATGGTTATTTGTAATAGGTGTCAAAGACAAAGCAGAATGAAACCCTTGTTCGAATGCTACTTGATGCTGGTGTGGACGTTAATGCTGCAGACCGTGTAAGTGTGTATTTTTAGTCATTTTGAAATAACATTCAAAATGGTATTTGTAGGTCATGTACTTGTCATCTGTAAAGTTGTTTGTTTTATTTTCCTAGACACTTCTGCATGTATTTTTCTTTTTTTTCACTGCCGGTTATGTGATCTTGAGGTTGTTTATATATGGCCACTAAACTTGTGGGAATACAATCTTTATTGAATCTAGGACATTTTTTAAAAAGCCCTGCTCCACCATGGGTGAAAAGTTAAAGAAGATGAAGAAGGTTCAGATAACCAAACTTGTTCTTGGTAGTTAAGAACCTTGAGTCAGAATGCCTATGACGTGTAAACTTGGACTTGCCATTTTTTACCTGTGTGCATTGTGGCAAGTTATAAACTTTTCCAGCTTCTGCTTTGCTCATCTGTAAAATAAGGATATCAATAACTTACAGGGTTGATTCATGTAAAGCACTTGGCAGAGTGCCTGAGACATGGTAAGTGCTCAGGCATTGTTAGCAGCTGTTACTACAGCCAAGATCCCAGCCAGCAAAGGGGGCTCCATCTGCAAACTAAGGAAAGATAAGGACAAAGGTCAATGGAAAATCCAAATGATGGTAAGGGCAATGATACCAGTGGGAACAGCCCCAGCTAACTTTTTCCTGTTTATAAACATAAGGTTTTGCTCTCACCTTTTACAACTGTGCCTTGAATGCATCTTCCCCCTTACATAGTCCTAAATGGGTCAAAAACTTATTTCTAAGTTTTATTTGCTTATTTGATTGAATAAAATTTGGTTGCCTAGTTCTTTACTGAAATAATAGGCCAGTCAAAATTTGATTAAAAAATGCAATACTCTATTTTAAATCCTTAATTTATGTTGTATATATCTGTGTGAATATTACCATTCTATGTCCTGTGATGAAGAAAACATCCCAATCCATTTCTATTAATTATTTACACTATTTTAGTTTGGGTCCGATTTCGTATCCGATGTTTAAATAGACGTAGTCCTTGTTTTCTCTCTCTTTGCATGTGTGTGTATGTGGGAGAGAGAGGGCGGAGAGAGAAAGAGAGTGAGTTTATGAAACGTGTGATTTTTTCTATTTCAAATGTAATTTTTGGAGTAATTTGGACAGACTAGTACTAGGAACCATCATTTGCTTAGGTAACTTTGAAATGTATTAAGATGTCACTAAAAATTAAGTAAAAGATAACTCAAAATGTTCAAAACTTTGCTTGTGAACAAAACTTCTCTAGGGTATTTTTCTAGTTATCTATGTCTATTCTATCTCAGTCTCTAGACATAGAATTACATCCCTGTGCACACTTGTACACAGATGTGCACATGGGCACAGATTTTTAACACATTTTTCAAAAACTACCTATATATTAAGATCCATTTTCCAACTCTAAGTAATTGTAGTGTATTGTACTTTTTAGACTCTTTATTTCACATGGAAAAATTCAGAGCTAGATTTTTCCACTCATCATGCCATCACTTAATAAAAAATATGAAATTATAGCATTATCCCCTGTGATTTTAGAGGAGTTTCTAGGGAAAAAGAGCCAGAGTTAATTCTGTTAATCTTGATAGTCAAGGATATTATTTCTTCATTTACTAAAATCATGGTTGTTTGGCTTTGAAAGGCAAAATTTTTAGCCCAAATGCCCTAGCTATAAATTTCTTTTGACCTGTAGTTAGTGTATTAAATTAGTGCCAAGAGAGTCGATCCATTATTTTATAATATATAACATAAACTGCAACAAACCAAGAATGGAGGACTTCTCTCTCTCTCTCTCTCTCTCTCTCTCTCTCTCTCTATATATATATATATATATATATATATATATATATATCAAAGTGCACTGGTCTTGTAAGTGTGCTTCTTCAGACTGGGGGATCTTTGATCAAGAATCATAGAGGATGATATCTGCAGAATGCCCCATGTGGAGACTCTAAGGGAAAAGATGGTAACAGGATCAAAGCACTAATTGGCCAGACATACGGAATTCTACAAAAAAGACCTTGGTATAATTCAGCATCAGCTTTTGGAAGAGAAAATGAGAAAGGAAGATATTAATGACTTACAGAACATTAATAACATACATAGTGAGACAGAAAAGACTTTAAGAATAGAAAAACATGTTGGGTGGGACTGTTTTGCTTAGTCGTACCCTACAAAATGTGAGGAGTGCTTGCTAAAGAAGCCAGGTGCTGCGGTCTGCAGAGTGGGATGACTCAGCTGTAACGTTGGTCCACTGTGTTTCAGTATGGCTGCACTGCCTTACATTACGCCTGTGAGATGAAAAACCAGAATCTCATCCCTCTGCTCCTTAAAGCCCACGCTGACCCCACGCTGAGAAACAAGGTAAGACTGTAGTCCATGGTTTATGGTATCTCCAGCAGCCTGATATTCTAACTTTGGACTTGTGTTGAATTAAATTACCATTGAGTGTGATGTTAACAGCAAAATTAATCATCCTCATTAAATACCTCATTTTTGCCATGTATAATGTGTACCCATGTTTTTGGCCCAAACTTTCAGGAAAAAAATCTTTTGTTTGAATTTTTAATTCAATTATTTATTTATATATAGATACTGGTTCTTATATCATAAAGGCAGGTTAGCATTTATTTTTAAACATAAGGATATTGGTATTGCTTTCTGGAGATATACTTTTAATGCATAAGCATAAATTAAAGAATTAAAATCATTTATATAGATATTGAATTAGTACTGCCTATGTATAATGCACATCCTTATTTTTCCCTAAAAATTTTGGGCAAAAAAGTACTCATTATATACAGCAAAATATGATAATTAAGTAATCCTGTTACTTTTAAAACAATAACATTTAAAGCCTTTGCCAAACCTGAGTGAGAGTCAATTAGCCTAAACTGATAACTGGACTCTTTGTATAGGCATTTGATTCTACTAGAGATAAATAACAATAATTTTTTTTTGTCAGGATGGCGAGAGTTCCCTGGATATTGCACGAAGATTAAAATTTTCCCAGATTGAATTAATGCTAACAAAAGCCTCATAATGCTTGTGGCCTCAGATGGAGAAGTAGAAAAAGTTAAAGGACTAGATTCCATCTGCGTCTTGGACTACTGGTCTGTGGGCCACTCAGCCTGGGTGCTGCCATTTTATGGGACCAGCGGTGGTTGCCAAGGATAATGTTTTTGAAGAGATTTGCAGTCATGTCCTCACTCAGTGGAGTTCACCATGGCCCTAACTCTAGAGGACACACTAAAGCTGTTGAAATTTCTACTCCAGTGAAAAAGGCGATGCTTCAAATTCAGTCTGTCCTGAAGAAGAGGATCAGTTATCTCAGACAGTGATCTGTTCTCTTTGCTGTGTGCTTTTGGAAGAGGCTGTCCTGTCTGTGCCACACCCAGGAGGCACTCTTCCTCCAGGCCCCTGTAAGTGGTAAGATGAAGAATATGTACATTTGTATAGAATGGTGTGTCTATGTGCGGGGGTTTGTGATTCACCTGTAAATGTTCCTTTGGCAAAACAATGGCAACCACATTTATCAGTTGTCAGTGGTGGCAGTTTTACACCCCAGAAATTGGCAAATGCTAAAACCAAGGCTTTTCTTTTTTTCCTGGAGAATCACTTTACCAGCACATTGCTAAACAATTTGCTGTCAGTTTATTAAACAAAAAGCCATCTTGATTTTGAGTAAGATTATGTGACTATCAAGATGTTTGTTTAAAAATATCTCTTGTGAATGCAAGGCAGCTATTGAACTTGTGAATTCTGTTTACTTTATTGATAAAAGTTTAAATATTACTGTAGTTTTGGGGAGGGGTGGGGGGAAAAGCAGAAAACTGTACTTGAACAACAATAAAAACATAATAAAAAAGAAAACCTAAAAAAATAAGTAAATATTACTGTAGTTTATTTAAATAAAGTATTCTATATAAGAAATACAGTTATATGATGAGATAGTATCTGAGTTATACTTCTAGATGAAAGAGAGAATATAAAATATTTGCTCAACTCCTTCATCAATGAAATAGTGAAAAAGTGTATCTTTAAAATTATTACATTTGCTGTGGCTGGTGTAGCTCAGTGAATTGAGCTCCAGACTGTGAACCAGAGGGTCACTGGTTCGATTCCTAGCCAGGGCACATGCCTGGGTTGCTGGCCATGTCCCCAGTAGGGGGCCAATGAGAGGCAACCATGCATTGATGCACTTTCCCTCTCTTTCTCCCTTCCCTTCTCTCTAAAAACAAATAAAATATTTTTTAAAAGTCTTAAAAATGATTAGATTTACAAATAAAGACTAAATCATGAATTTATTTAAAAATTTAAAAAATTATATTCTATTAATTATGCTATTACCGTTGTACCATTTTTCCCTCTTTGGCCCCCTCCACCCAATACCCCTCACTCCCCCAGGTTATCCCCACACCATTTTTTATGTCCATGGGTCATGAGTATGTTCTTTGGCTATTTCATTTCCTATACTGTACTTTATATCCCCAAGCATATTCTGTAACTACCTATTTGTACTTCTTAATCTCCTCATTGCTTCACCCATTACTCCACACCTCCTCCCATCTAGCAACCATCAAAATGCTCTCTGTATCCATGATTCTGTCTCTGCTTTTTTTGTTTCCTTAGTTTGTTTTTTAGATTCAATTGTTTATAGATATGTATTTATTGCCATTTTATTGTTCATAGGTTTGATCTTCTTCTTTTTCTTAAATAAGTCCCTTTAATATTTCATGTAATAATGGTTTGGTGTAATGAACTCCTTTAGTTTTTTTCTTGTCTTGGAAGCTCTTTATTTGCCCTTCAATTCTAAATGATATCTTTTCTGGGTAGAGCAATTTTGGCTGTAGTCCCTGCTTCATGACTTTGAGTATTTTTTGCCAATGAAATATTTCTAGCCTGCAAAGTTTCTTTTGAGTAATCAGATGATAGTCTTATAGGAATTCCCCTGTAGGTAACTAACTGCTTTTTTCTTGCTGCTTTTCTCTTTTTATCTTTAACCTTTAGCATTTTAATTATGATGTGTCTCAGAGTGGGACTCTACATTCATCTTATTCGGGACCCTCTGTGCTTCCTGGACTTGCATGTTTATTTCCATCAGCATATTAGGGCAGTTTTATATCACTATTTTTCAAATAGATTTCCAATTCCTTGTTCTTTCTCTTCTACTTCTGGCACCCTTCTGATGCAATTGTTGGAAAGCTTGAAGTTGTCCCAGAGGCTGCTTATACTATCCTCATTTTTAAATAATTCTTTTTTCTTCTTGTTGTTCTGATTGGTTATTTTTTGCTTCCTTATGTTCCAAATCATTGATGTGATTCTTGGCTTCACCCACTGTACTATTGTTTCCTTGTAAGTTGTTCTTTAATTGGTGTATTCTTCATTTCTGACTGGATCTTTTTTATGCTGCTGAGGTCCTAAGTTTCTGGAGCATCCTTATAATCAGTGTTTAAACTCTGCATCTGATGGATTGCTTATCTCCATTTTGTTTAGTTCTTTTCCTGAAGTTTTAATCTGTTCTTTCGTTTGGGCCATGTTTCGTGTCCTCATTTTGTTAGCCTCCCTGTGTTTATTTCTATGTATTAGGCAGAACTGCTAAAACTCCCTGTCTTGGTAGCATGGCCTATGATGTGTAGTAGGTGTCATGTGGGGTCCAGAGGTACAGCCTCCCCTATCACCCAAGCTGGGTTAATCGAGGTGCACCCTTCATGTGGGCTGAGAACACCCTTCTCTTGTAGTTGAGCCTTGATTATTGTTGGCAGGTCAATTTACCCAGGCTAGTCAGCTGTAAGGACTGGCTGTGGCCACCGATCACCAACCTGTACCCTCTGTGGAGGACCATCTGTGCAGGGGCAGGGTGGTGGTGCTCCAGCATGGTTTGTAGCTATCCTCTGGGTATGCAAGCGCTAGAATTTCCTGGGCGGTGCAGACCAAGGTCAGCCCCCACCTGTGTTTTGCCCAGAGTCATCCTGCCTGAGCAATAAAGCAATCTGAGATGGCTGCTACTTGTACTGGTCTTAGAGATTCCCATGTTAAGCCAAGCTGTTAATCTAGGCTGGTTGCTGCTAGTGCTGTGCCTGGGGTCACTTAGCAAGAGGTATGGGGGCTGAGGGCTCACTGAGGTCGGCTCTTGAATGTTTGAGGGGATTTAGGAAGTTGTGAAGCATGAGCCAAGACCAGCCATTAATATGGAAAAGCAGTTTGGGTGGACCCATAAGTTGGGTGGGACTGAGTCTCTGGGGATCTCTAGGCAAACACTGGGGGCAAACCGTATTCTCCAGGTTGATGGAGTCCCTGATATGGCACCAGCTTGCTGGCTCTGTGGCTCTGTTGGAGGAGGGCTCAAAAAAGGGACAATGGCCTCTGCCCCCCTTTCTGTCTGGGAGAAAGCTATCCTCCAGCTTTTGCTTTTATGCCAGATACTTCAGCTTCTCCCTTTGTGCCACTGGTGCCTTTCAAACTGTTACTGTGGTGCTGGAGCTCAGAGGGAGTGAGTCTGAGTGAGTCCATGTGTGGGTTAAGAGGAATCACTTGGGTCTATTGCAGTTTCTTCCACTCAATCCCCATTCATTTTTACAGCCAGAAGTTTTGGGGAATTTTCTTCATGGCACTGGAACCCTGGGCTGGGGGGCCTGGTGTGGGGCTCAGAGTCATTTCTCCTGAGATATCCCTCACGAATTTTTACCCACCACACATGCTTGTGGGACCTTCCTGTTCTGCATCTCTATCCCTCCTACCAGTCTGATTGGATATGGTTTCTTTAATTCCATAGTTGTCAGGTGTTCATTCAACCCATTTTATGATGGTCCTGAGTTATGGTTGTTTTATATTCTAGTTGTAATTTTGATGTGGTTATGGGAGAGGTGAGCCATGTTTCCCTATGCTGCCATCTTGACTGGAAGTCAAATCATAAATATCTTTAGACATAAACTAAGCCACAGTATGTGTGGTAACAAATATGCCTATGAATAAAAGATCTGCCATCCTTGAGCAGAACAAAGTTCTAATCAAAATCAAATCCAGGAATGTTGGGCCTTAAGGCGCTTATTTTGTGATAGGAATAGTAGGGTATAGATACAGATTCTGAAGCTTTTAAATGTCTCTTAATAAATTATGTAAGATCTAGTCAGATTGTACTGAGTGACCAGGTGCTAAAAAAAAAGTAACTTCACACATAAATATACCTTTGACACACACCAGTATACCTTCAAGTCAGAAGTTTTCAAAATTGTGCTATTGGTTCCAGAGTTTTTCATAGTTGTACTATTACTCATATAATTATATCTGTCATCTTTGAAACTGTGTGAAAAGTGAAAGAAAACCAGAGTTGAGAATGAGCTGAGGAATTTCCCAACAGTAACTTTGTCAAGATCAAAGGATAAAATATACAACTGTTTTATTTTGCTCATGACATTTCACAATTTTCTTTCCAGCTTTTAATTTTTGGAGGCAGGAAGCTGGTCAGACATTTCTGGATAATAGGTCTCCAAGCCAACTCTCAAACAAGCTTGGACTAGTATTTAGGTACTGAAACACACACACATGCTTTATGCAGTGCAAATGCACTTACTGAAAAACTCGTAATAATTCCACAAAAGTATCTCCTCTGAGACTCAGCTGTAAAACCTGGCGCTTTTGAAGGTGCTTAAAATGTAATATTTTGTCCATGCTATACAATGAATTTATTTGTTTGTTTGTTATAACAGCTTGGCTTTCTGAGGTAGCGTTGTCTCTGTGGAAATAAGGTGAAAATATCTAGTTTATTTATTAACAGTCCAGAGATTCAAGATTCTTGTCTTGCCCTGGCAGGTATGGCTTAGTGGATTGAATGGCAGCCTGTGCCCTGAAAGTTCAGTAGTTCAATTCCTATTCAGGGCACATGCCTGGGTTCCTGGGCACGACCCTAGTTGGGGGCGTATGAGAGCCAAACAACCAATCGATGTATCTCTCACACATTGCTGTTTTCTTCTCTTTCTCCCTCCCTTCTTCTTTCTCTAAAAATAAATAAGTAAAATATTTAATAAAAAAGACTCATCCCAATTTTTCATTTTAGTTTATTGTTTCAAAAATATGGTTTATAGAAAAATAAATAACAAATTTTAGGGAAGTTTACCTGAATAACATAGAGAATGTCTAACTGATTTGTATAAATCTTATCCTTCGATATGGTAGAATATACAGAGTCTGGCACAAATAATGCCCTTTTTATTATAAAATCTCTTATTACAAAATCATAAGCAGGTAATTCTATAACATAATAATATCATACTCAGGCACGCCGTAAGACATTTTAGGTGAAATGTTCAAATTAAAACTACGAATTGTTATACTTACAGTATTACCCTATGAGCCACATTCAAGCAGGCCTTACTTCCGCTGGGCCCTGTATGAATAGCACATGAAACCTATACTTAGCCAATGAGTAGTTGAGCTAACTAAAAATAAAATTCACTGTCAGTTTTAGTACCAAATGCAAGAGATTTGAAGGAATATGTAATATTTTCTGCCCTCCCTTCTCTACTTCCCTTCTATTGATACCATAGGTTTCCAGTTCTGGAAATCCTTAAAATCCTTTGTTCGTGGACCCCAGCACCATCGTCCATGAGGTTTTTCAGAAGACATGTCAGTATTTGGTGCTTCAGAGTCTGACCCTGCACATTCCCTGGGAAAGGCTGGTCTCCTCCTGCTTCATCAGATGTATGATTTCGTTATACAGACGATGAGGTGCATCCAAACCCCAGATGAAATCCACGTGCGCCCATTCGGGAATGTTCTTGTGGTAGATGAGGTTGTTCACTTCAGAGAGCAGTGTTTTCACATCATCTGGGTTTGAAAGCCAGTCCTGACCTCCAGTCCACATTGCTGTGGGGACCGTCATGTCTCTAACTCTGTACCTCACAGGACTTGGCTAGAAAAGAAGAATATTGTTAACTGTAGATCACATTTGGACTTCCAAGCACATAATTTACATTTCAAATGAACATACTAAATATGCCATGTGTTTTGATGGAAAAATGCAAGGGAATTGGAGCCAAACAGATGTGCATTTAGAGTTTCTGTTAGAGCACTTACCTGAAGGTAAAATTACTTAACCTCACTGAACCTCAGTTTCTTCATCTGTGAAATTACTTAACCTCATTGAACCTTAGTTTCTTCATCTGTAACCTGACTAGGTTAAATGTGAAAATATGTAAACTGCCTAGCACTTTAACTATTCATATCCAATTCTCTTTTTCCTAGTAATAAATATTTAACACATAAATTGTCTTTAAAAGATAATCTCACAAACATTTCATGAGGACAGAGTTAGAAATATTTTACAGAGAACGGCAAGAGAATGGACCCTACTGAGAAGGTCTTTGCTCTCAGTCTTTATAGAGATTTTCTATGATAACAGAAAACCCTTGAATAAGTCCAGCTTGACCATCTCCAAAAATGTGGGGAAGTCAATGGTACTGGGACTCAGGGAGTTTGAATCAAGAGCAAGTATGAATTAGATCCCTGCTCTAGTCTGCTATCACCCAAAGAAGGGTGTCTAGGTTTCGTAATTCTTGAGAACACCTCTTACTCAAGCAGTGCTATGAAATCAGACTGGCTGACTGAGCCCTTGAAGTTAATCAGCACCCAGATCTTTTCCACAGAAATGTTGAGGCCCATTTTTTACTTAGAAGATCCACTCTGGAGCCAAAGTTTCAATCTAGGCAGTCCTTGTTTCACTTTGTGACTTTCTAAAAATTAGGAGTTACAGACTATGGTGCAATTTGAAATAAAAAAATATATTATTGTTCTTCATCCCCATTTTTGGAACAGAGCTCCTAAAACCTTGAGTGAAGGACGTTGAGATGAGATCATCATTGGTTTGAGTAGCCCTAAATCAAATGACAAGTGTTTTTCAAAGGCAAGGGTGGAAGACAGAGGAGAAAGTCATGTGAAGATGTAGGCAGAAGTGGAGGGATTAGAGTGATGCATCTACAAAACAAGACACACCAAGAGCGACAAGCAACCACCAGAAGCTAGGAGAGAGGCATGGGACAATCTCAGAGGCTCCAAAAGAAACCAACCCTGCCTAAACCTTGACTTTTGACTTCTGGCCTCCAGAATTGTGAAAGAATAAATTTCTATTGTTTTAGTCACTACCCTCCCAGCCCCCAGAAAGCACCCTTGGATTTTACTAAATAATGAGTGCCATAAACGTGTCTTTCGTTATGTTAATGCAGTGGCTTGGAACCAGATGGAGATTCCCAGCTAGTGGAGTCAAGCATGTGATATATCTTTGATTCTGTTCCTGTTCTTCTTGTTTGCTTAGTTTGTTTTTTTTAAGATTCAGTTGATGATAGTTGTACATTTGTTAGCATTTAATGTTCATAGTTTTGATCTTTTTCTTATATAGTTCCCTTTAACATTTCATATAATAAGAGCTCGGTGATGATGAATTTCTTTAGTTTTATCTTGTCTGGGAAGCACTTTTTCTGCCCCTCCATTCTAAATCATGGCTTTGCTAGAGAGAGTAATCTAGGTTCTAGGCTCTTGCTTTTTAACACTTTGAATAATTCTCGCCAGTCCCTTCTTGCCTGCAAAGTATCTTTTGAGAAATCAGCTGATAGTTATATGGGAACTCCTCTGTAGGTAATTGTCTCCTTTTCTTTTGCTGGTTGTAAGATTCTCTCTTTATCTTTAACCTTTGGCATTTTAATTATGATGTGTTTTGGTGTGGTCCTTTTTGGGTCCAACTTGTATGGGACTCTGCTTCCTGGACTTGTGTGTCTATTTCCTTCACCAAATTAGAGAATTTTTCTTTTGTTATTTTTTCATGTAAGTTTTCAATTTCTTGCTCTTCCTCTTCTCCTTCTGGCACCCCTAAGATTTGGATGTTGGTGTATTTGGAGATGTCCCAGAGGCTTCTTATTCTATCCTCATTTTTAAAATTCTTTTTTCTTCTTGCTGTTCTGATTGAATGTGTTTTCTTTCCCTTTTAGTTCCCTGTAGATTTTTCTTTATTTCACTTAATGCAATCTTCATTTCTGCCTGGATCTTTTTTATGCTGTTGCCATACTCAATGAGTTCTTTGAGCATCCTGATAACCAGTGTTTTGAATTCTGCATCTGATAGGTTGCTTATCTCCATTTCATTTAGTTCTTTTCCTAGAGTTGTGTTCTGTTTTTTTAATTTGGGCCATATTTCTTTGCCTCTTCAATTTGGCAGCCTCCCTGTTTGTTTCTATGTATTAGATAGAGCTGCTTTGACTCCCTGTCTTAGTAGCATGGCGTATTGTGGGAAATAGGCCATGTATGTTGTCTGGAGTAGAGTTTTAGGTAATTGCAAGGGTGGGACAACCTATTTTACTGCTGTGTAGGGGAGGGTTCAGAGAGGGGACAATGCCACTGCCTGGCCTCTTGAGATTGCCTGGGAGGAAGCTTTCTCCAGCACTCATGCTATTGCCAGTCATCTGACTTTTTCCCCTTCTCCCCATATGCCACTTGTGCCCTTCCAGCTGTTGCCTTGGTGCTGAATCCCAGAGGGGGGGATCTATGTAAGTCCTAAGTCCATTGCAGGCCCATTAAGAGCAGTCTCTTGAGAATCCCACAGTTTCCTCTGCCATTCCGACCCCCACATGTTTTTACTGCCAGAAGTTATGGAGACTTATCTTCCTGGCCCTGGAACCCTGGGCTGGGTGGTCTGGTCTGGGGCTGGGATTGCTTGCTCCTGAGTATCCCTCCCAATATTTATCTACCACAAATGGATGTGAAATTGCCCATTCCATTGCCTCTCTGCACCTCTCCACACCTCGCCACACCTCTCTGCATCCTCCCTCTCCTACTTGTCTAGATGCATGTGGCTTCTTTAAATTCTTGGTTGTTGGACTTACATACAATTTTCTGATGAATCTGGGTGATATTTATTTTGTAGTGTAGTTGTAATTTTTGCTGTAGTTGTGTGCAGAGGCAAAGCATGTTTTCCTACACCTCCATCTTGAGTGGAAAAGTCACTTAGTTGTCTTTAACTTCATGCAAAACAATTTAGTGAGATTGTACTGTGACAGCTGTCATATAAGCATTTGCATTTTAGGAAAAACATCAAAATTGGGGAATTTTTGTGCAACCATTTTAATATTGAAAATGAAAGAAAATACACACCTCTTTTGGCATATTATGCTTTATGATATCAAGGAAGGCAAAAATGCAGCTGAAACTCAAAATATTTGTGCAGTGTGGAGAAAGTGCTGGGACTGATTGACCATATCAAAAGTGGTGTGTGAAGTTTCTTGGTACTATTGACATTTTGACCAAATAGTTCTTTGCTGTGGGGCTGTCTTATGCATTGGAATATGTTTAGCAGAACCTCTGACCTCTACCTACTAGAAGCCAATAGCAGGAGATAGCCGACATACTTGAAATATCCAAACTAATAAAGTTATTGGTGAAAATAAAAAAATATGTCTTTTATTTTATGGAAAAAACATAATGGATTTTTGGCCAACACAATATTTTAGAAAATAGCTAAGACAGATCTAAAAAAAAACAAGAGCAGATACCGTTGATGGGGAGTTTGCTATTCCTGGGCACTACACAGTCTTTAATTTCCTAGCCTTTTCTATCTAGATTGATGTACAGAAAGAGATGTTAAGAGATGTTAAGAGATGCTATGAGACTATTAAAGATTTACCTGTGTCTATTCAGCTCCCTCCAGATTTAAATGTGTACAGTCAATGTTTGTTTACATTCACCAACAAGCTCACCAATAGTCTGCAGCGAAGATTTTTATGCTCAGAGCAGTATAATATCCAATTCTGATTCTATACACTTATTTTTAATTTTATTCTATAGCATTGGCTATACAGTTTCCTAGGTAATGTAATAGAAAAATATAGTAAAAATACTTTTACTTGCAAATTACAGAATCATTATAAATGTGACCAGGGAGAGCTCTGGTCCAATAATTTTGGACCAGAATAATCTAGCCCAATAATTTTTAGAGTTAAAAAAGATTTAGGCCTAAGTGTCAAAGCAGCCTACCCACGATCACATGAGTTTATAGGTCAAGGTAAGACTAATGAAGGAATCCTCACCGGCCAGTTAATGGTCTTTTTTTATGCAGCAAGTTTTTAAAATTACATATAAGATTGAATTATAATGTGAGATGATTACCACAGTGAATTAGTTAACATCACCACATATAGTTACAATTTTGTTTTGCATGTAATAAGAACTTTTAATATCTACTCTCAGGAACTTTCAAATATACAATACAGTGTTATTAACTATAGTACTATCTGTACATTATATCTTATAACATTTATATTACCTTTTGACCCCCTTCACCCATTCCCCACCTCCAACCCCTCAACCTTGTCTCTGGCAACCACAAATTAATGCTTTTTGTATTGTACCATAAAGACAACCTCGCCCCTGCTAAATATACCCTACATTGGTGTATTTTTGGGTTTGGGTCCAAAAAGGATTCTAGTAATAGCGGCCACAGAGCACACTCTTCCCTTCACTAAGTTTACCTTATCTTGCTCCTGAAAAGCCCAGTGCCTCCCCTTCATGGAAGCAGCCTTTCAAAGAAGCTCTCCTACTCCATTGTAAAAGCAGCACGCCTCTTGCTAAGCTGTGAACTTATCCATTTGCAAATGGAGTCACACCCGAACTATTATTTTCCACTCACTTTCTTGTATTTTATTCCCATCTCATAAACTGCCATTATAACTTTTTTGTTGTGCAATTTAAAAGGTTGAATGTTGATTTTCTTACCTGATTGCCTTTCTCCAGATTTTTGGTCTCACTTCCCCAGTCAAATGCCTGGAGTTCCCCAGAATTTGCCACCTAAAAGGAGACAACAATTCACATGGCATTCAAATGTATTGCTGGATAAGAGTGGGAGGAGGGATGGAAGTGTGCTACCAAGTCTGCAGTTGTGGGGGAAGCAGAGAGCAAAGGTTGAGGCTGAGCTTCCTGTCAGCATTGGGATAATCTTCAGGAAGGTACAAAGGCAAGAATAAGACCCATTCAGGGAGAAAAATGGATGTACTGCAGAAACACTGTCACCATGTTATACAACTCCAGCAAGAGCATCCCATCAACGTGTACCTAGATGGGTATTCTGCTACGCTCTGCAGGCTACAAAGGAAAAGCTCCCTCTGGTGACTCTGGGAGAATGTGACCAACACTCAACCCAGTTCACAGTTATAAAATCAAACACACACACACACACACACACACACACACACTCTCTCTCTCTCTCTCTCTCTCTCACACACACACACACACACTCACACACAAATATAACAATGACCTTACAAGATCAATTTCACTAGACTCTAAATTGCTAGAAAGACAGATAAAACCATATTCAAGATTTATAAATATCACTACTTCTTAAAACTCTGCTTGAGTTATAGTCCTCTTGTTTTTTTTTTAACATAGTGGTATTTTTAATAGATGAGAATCTAAGGTTAGTTATGCTCTAGCTCTCTCCTAATTTTCATCTTTATTTCCACAATCAATCAGGATCACTCTACTGTATCATCTAGAATGAGCAGTATTCTTAGGTTCAGTGCTTCTTCATTTGTGAAAGAATAATTAGCATTCACATTGCCCTCGAATCAGTTTGAATGTCTTAGTTCAGCTCTGCCTTCTTTAGTTCATGTGACTTGTAACCAAGACTTTCCCTCCTGTGTAACAGGTATAGTCTTTCCTTCCTGTGAAACCTCTTTGGGTAACTAGGTCTTGCCTTAGTATTTTGTAGCTATTTGACCGAGCTGGTGGAGGAGCCAAAAATTATATTCTCCTGCCTCATTTTGAAGTGGCTGGAGACAGAGAAAGGTCTCACTGGGACCACCTGAATCCGCACTTTTCAGGTCAACTGAAGATGTCCTTGTGCCAATCCTTTCCTTCCATCTCCTGAAAAGTTTCCATGTTCTAGATCACATCTTTTTTTAAAAAAGACTTTGTTTATTTGTTCATATTTTTTTAAAGAAGATTTTATTTATTTTTAGAGACAGAAGAAGGGAGGGAGAAAGAGGAGAGAAACTTGAGGTGTGAGAGATTCATTGATCAACTGCTTCTCACAACCTTCCAACTGGGGACCTAGCCAGCAACCCAGGCATACGTCCTGATGGAGAATGGAGCCAGTGACCTTTTGGTTTGCAGGCTGGCACTCAATCCACTGAGCCACACCAGCCGGGGTGATCACATTGCATCTTGACATAAATGTAAAATAACTCCTGGATGTCAAGGACATTCTTCAAGTATCTCAGACAAACTGCACAAAGACGCTTACTTAGGAAAAATTGCAAATCAGCAGTCTTACCTGGCTCCAGTGTAGGATATTCTGCACAGATGTTCCAGCAGGAGAATGAGCAACATACACATTTGCTCGGCTCTGTAACAAAGCATGGTTAGTTTGTGGGACACGGAGAAATTCACAAAATATGCACCTTGTCAAGGTCAAATCTCCTGGTATCAGACTCAGAAATGGAAACATTAACTGATCAGCAGTGATCTAAAAACAGTAGTATGTACACATAAATAAAATCACTACTAAATGTATTCTTGGGCCCCTATATTTTTCATCGGAGGATACCTTCTCATTAGATATATGACCTCTTTTATAAAAGAATCTTTACTACAGTAATTAAGGGTGAAAACTCTAGAATTAGCCTGAATTCAAATCCTGGCTCTATCACTGAATTTTTAGGTGGATTTAGGAGTTATTTAATCCACTAAAATCTCAGGATACTATCTGAATAGTGGGACTATTGAGAATATCTGTCTCATAGGATTGTTATGAGGAATAATTTAGCCTGACACATAATAGATGCTTATCATATGGTAGCTATTACTCTTATTATTTAAAAGAAGAAGGAAAAGAATCTACAGGAATTAAAGATGTGTTCTTCCAACTGCCAGGGCTGCTGCTGGCTGGTAGCAGTGGGGACTCCTTGGGGAATTGTCCCAGGTGTAGAGTGCTGTCTTGCTCAATGTGTCAGCTACTATTGGCATTGTCTGCATTGAATGACCAGTCGATGTGGGGGTATAAAAACCCAGCTCTCTCACCCTCACTTGGGACAGCACTGACGGGTCATCCCATCTTCACAAATCCCTGTAGGATCAACCCAGCTTCCCATTAATGTTTTCCCGTTAAAAGAGCGTCAGAGCTCCCCCCACCCCACCCCATCTGCCCAACCCTGTTTCATTCCCTTCTCTAGGTGTTACCCCAAGAGCATAACCCTGAACCGCTCTGCCCACTAATCTCCATCTCTGAGTGTCCTTCCTGGGAAGCCACCCTGAGACACCAGCCAACTGGTGGCTGTGCCTAAGCCACATGGAAACTCCCAGACACCCTCCTGAAGGGCTTAAACTACAAACCAGAAGGACCCAAGTAGAAAGAGGAGGTGGATGATGCATCGTTGTTCTCTCTTTTGACTACTGGATTCTAATCACTTTTATCCATCTGCTAATTCACTGTATGAAGCTGTTTTCATTATTTCTTCCATCTATAACCTGTGAAGTTAATATCTAGCAATGCCTTTATGTTAACCTGACCTCAACCCATGTTAAACCATTTCCTGCATATTAGTATAACATGGAGAAAATATAATTACTAAGATTACATTTCTCTAAGTGTTCATTGGCAATACCTCATCCTCAGGGAGTAAGACTAATAGCTTTGCTTTAAGAACAGTGAATTTGCTAGATTTCCACTTACCATGTTCATGTTTTGTGTGTTAAATCCTCCCAGAAGTAAAATGATATTGCTACAAATCTGATCAATAATCATCTGGCCACAAAGGTAAATATAAAACTGGCGGAAAAATCTGGTCTGGTACAGAAATTCTTTCCTACCAAATAATCCCTGTCAAGATATGAAACAAAATAGTAGTCATTACATTACAATCCAAAAGAAGCGACTCTAACCAAAAAGTATAAACCTTTCCTTATCGTGCAGGACAACTCCTGTACGTAGACAAGACATTTTCTGAGGTGTCACATACCTTGATCATCATATCAGGCAGCAACAGGAATTTGGTCCCAGGGCTTTTTGCATGTTTAATAGTAGCTATTGGTGCTAAGGCAAAATACATTTTTACTTTCTGAGCCAGCTCTGGCATGGTGGAAAATGCAATAAAGCCTGCAAGAGAAGGGATAGGTCAGTGTGGATATCGAATATCTCGGAACTCATAAAATGCTTATTTTACTTTTGCCAAACTATTTCAGTAATTACTTGTGATTATGTCTTCACTTTCCCAGAAAATTGTAAGTGGCTGGAGGGGGAAAAACAACAGCAGCAAAAACTCCTTAGTGTGCCCTCTGACTTCTGGCTTATTGGGTGTTCAGTAGTAGGTTCTCATCAAATTACTGAATTAAAGTGTTGAGTCCAATAATATGGACTTTGAGAATATTTATATATTGAGAGGTAACCATATGCTAGATACTTTGTCCCTTGTCCTTACTTCATTTCATTCTTAAAGTTTTATTAGGTATTTTAATAAATCTCTACAGTGAAAGAAATGAGAATTTGCCTTGTTTACTGATAACAAGCATGTTCTATGACAGAATGGGTATAGCAGGATTTTCCCCATTTTCTTTGACACTTGCTTTTTTCTGGAACCCAAACTGTAAGTTAATGTAGTAGACAAGTGGTCTAGTGAGCTGGATTCCAACTATTATTTTCACCATAAACTTGGTATGGGATGCTAATTAAGTCAGTTTATGCCTCAGTTTCTATACCAATAAAATAGAGCCAAATTCCCCAAATTACCACTGTGCAGGGATACTCTCTGTGAAGCCCTTGGGAGAAAAAGGCTGTTGGAAAAAGCCAGGGCGTGGCCATTATATTTGAAATACTCTATGTCTACTTCAGAAGAGCTTGTACTCTCTCTGTCTAAGCTGATGCTTGTGGGTTCTAGGGAGGGAGGCTCAGTAGGAAAAAAAAACACCCCTTGGAATTACATGACTTCTGTCCAATCCCCAGCAGGTAAGTATTAAGAAAGACTGATTCCTTCCCTTGTTTTCTCTTCCTGTATTAGGTTTGCCAGCCATGTGCAAAGGCAGGCAGAAGAGTGACCTGGTATTAGCACATGCTCTCCCAACTGTACCATCAGTAGGACTGGGTTGAGAATACTTTAAAATACATGACTATATTCTAGTGTAATTCTGACGATATAGAACTTTCCTCAAATGTCAAAATCTGAGAACTCTATATAACTTCTCCCATCAGTACTTCTTACGTAAAGCAAGTTTGAGTTCTCCATATTAATAGCAGTGTGCTTGACTAATAGAGTAATCTTATGCTTTTTTGCCCCTCCTTCTTCTCAGAGTCACATTTAGCTTCATCACTACCATCTTTTTCTTCATGTCACATTGAACAGTTTGAGTATGGAGCAAAAATTTTTAAGACCTCTGGAAAATAGAGCAGGCATAATACTTTAACTTTCTTTCTATGAAGTACACGGTGAGACATAGCATCACTAGGATCAGTTAATGTTATTAAAAAATCCAGAAAGGAAACTGTGTCTTTTCATGCACTAGAGAGCACCAAGTAAAAATGAATGAACTGAACTTGTGCCCGGAGTTCCTGTGAGTGAGCGCTCCCCTGTTTCCTCAGTCTCCCTTACCCTGTCCTTCACCTCTGGGTTTGGCTCAGGGTGAAGGTACGGAGCTCCTCTCATCCCTCTCCAGAAATAGAGAGCCTTTTCCTCAAGGCACACACTGTGCCTCTCCTGATCTTCCTTCGTTCTAATCTAAGCCAAGTACGTTTTTCGTGTTGACTCTGTCGGACATAAAGCCAGGATAGCCAGCCTCTACACCCATTTTCCCAAGTAGGTGATCTGCATTCTCTAGGATCATGAGTTAAGATTTCTCACAAATTCATCAAAAACAAGAGGACACAAGCATGCAATGGCAGACATTGGCATTAGAAGGAAAAAAAAGAGATTTGAATAAATTCCCCCACCTGTTCTGTTTATAGTGTGACACCGCTTAGTGTTTATTATTTGCCTATTACATGCCAGACACTGAACTCATTCAATGTGTTTATTGAGTGCAGACTGAGTGCCAGGAACTGTCTTCACAGCTGTTTTAGATAAAACCCCTGTCTTTGCAGAGCTTATATAAACCATCATATTGAACAGTCCATCACCTCTAACACACCTAAGAGGGAACTACTATCCACATTTTATAGATGAGGAAACTGAGGCCAGAGGAGTAAAATAACTTGCTCAATGACATTTACCTAAGAGGTGGTAGAGCCCAGTATTTGAATACTCAGCTTTCTGCTTACAAAGCCCTCGCTCTACCTACCATGCCAGAAGCCTCCCTCAATTCCATTTCTGTTTCCTGTAGCTCTTAGAGGCACTGAAGAGGGTAAGGTTAGATGAGTGAAGTGTGAGAGGACTGACCCCAGGCACAGTTGTTCACCATATGCTCACGTTTCTTCTGAGTATACAAACCTGCTTTCCTTTGAACCTACCCATAGTGGTGCCCTGTGAATAGCCGACATAATAGATCTTTTCCTGGCCCGTTTTCTGCAAAATAAAGTTTATGACTGCAGGAAGGTCAAACCTAGCCATCTCATCATAACTACAAGAGGAAAAGACAAAGTTATATGAAAAGTTATAATCAGAAACAAATAAAAACAGTCCCCGAGGCTTACAAACATACCCTTGCATTGTCAGCCCCAAATGCTTGTTACTGTGCCCCTCACAACACTAGGAATGGACTTGCGTCAAGCCCGTGATGCACGGGTGCCTCTGGAGTCCCAGGTTGTTAGCGAACTGCTATTTCTGCAGATGTTATAGAGCAATGATCATCTTCAGTGCCTATGCACTGAGCACCCAATCCACCTCCGGGTAGAGGTATCCTGTTATTCTGTTAGCAGAACAACACAGGGTCATGCAAATTCATTTATATGGAAAGTATTAAAGATGCTATGAAGCACTTCTCTGATTAATTGGATAAAGAGCAGGATGAATGTCCACAGGTAATTTAAATAAAAATATTAAAAACCTTTTGTAAGAGTGTCAGAGATGTGTTAGTTGAACTAATAGTCCCTAAGGCTTAATAGTTTTCTTATGTCTTTCATGTCTGATCTCCTCTTGGGGATACTGATCCTTGTCATAACTCAAAGAAGAGTTAGTCCCAGGACATGCATCTGTAAGAAAATGGACATAAATTTCTCTTGTACTGGTCTTAATCACCTGACACCAGTCACCATTCTCACGCCATTCAGCATACCCAGTCTTTTACTTAGGGTACCAAATTTTCCCTACTACTTCCCTCAAAGAATCACTAGTCAATTAAGACAATCAAAGCATATCACATAGCATACTGATGAGCCAACCAAAGTAAATCACCCAAACACTAGAAGCCATAATTGTTTACCCATCTCTTCCAAAGACATCCATGTCCATCTCCACTCTCAAGATTTTCAAATACCTGAAAGCCCAGAACTCATCTTGGTCTGTGGAGAGGGTCTTGTGTTTCCGAGACCAGGTGTTGCCCCGGCTGTTCCCCATCCACACGTCAAACCCGGCGTCTGCCAGGATGAAGCCCAGGCTGTTGTTGGGCAGGTTGGAAATCCAGTTGCTGGCGTCTCCAAGCAGGCCATGCTGCAGTAACACCACAGGCCTGGAGCCTACAAAAAACAGAATTTCGTCGGTGGGAAATGTTCCCTACCTTCCTCGGTATCCTGTAACATGCAAAGGCTTTCAGGTCAGACAGACCTGCGTTCAACCGCTGATTCAGCTTCTTGCTAGCTTATCTCAGCCAGTTACTTAACCTTTGTGTTTCTGACTTCCTCATCAGAAAAGCAGAATTTTTGTTATAATTATAATTAAATAGAATAGTGTACAAGGAACAGATGGCACAATGCCTGGAACTGAAAAAGAATCAAAGTTCAACTCCCATTGTTGTTTTTGTGTAGTTATTGTTAGTAGACTTGTCTAAGCACCTGGGAGGATATTAGGAATGCTCCAGGAGGTAGTGTAATGTAATGATTAAGATAGTTATTACAGTAATCATAATTACTCTAGGTTAATAAGAATAAAAATTATATTATTATATATTTGCATTTTATATGTATAATAATATAATATATTACTACATTATTGTAATGTATAATATGTAATTATGTTATTATATAACAAAGTTATATATGTGTGTATATTATGTTAAAATAGAAATAATTATATAGACACTATATAATTATTGATATAATAATTATATATGCATAGAAATGCATACATGTGTAAAACATTACATGTGTATATATCAAATATAATATACATATTATAATAGTATTGTGCATTATACACATAACAAACAATATATTGTGTATCTATATCATATAAAATAGAAATATAATATATCATATATTATATAACATTATATAATGATATATGATTACATATATTTATAATGATTGATATTATAATATTAATACATACACTTATGTATCTTTGCCATATATGTAATGATTTAAATGGTTATGGGTGATTCATGTCAGAAGGACCCACAAGTCAGCTTGAAGGATCTTCCAATATTTAAATATGGAAAAATTTGAGCACCAAAATGAATAATGACAGCAATAAATCACATCCTATTAAATAGAGAATGTATGAACAATATTGATATCAATAAAAATGAACAAGGAAAGAATTAGAGGGTAGTAAAAGCTCTTATTTATAACATAATGCCACTACAAAAATTATGAATGGATGCTAAAATCAGTGGTTAAAGTTGGAAGGGATATAGGATATTTACATATCTTGAAAGTACCTCCTCACAAAATTTATTAATTACAAAAGGAAAAACACTAACTTTATGGTAGAAAAACTGGGCAGAAACCATCTTTACAAAGTGATCAAAGCTAATATCACCAAATAGAACTGATACCCTAACTTACACCACTCATGAAAATTAGCCAAAAATGAATTAAAGACTGAAATAAAAAAGACTGAAAATAAAGACTAAGACCTGAAACCTAGAATAAAACATATGGGAAAAGCTATTTGACATTGGTCTTGGCAATTTTTTTTTGGCTATATCACCAAAAGCACAGGCAACAAAAGCAAAAACAGACAATTTTCACTTCATCAAACTAAAAGGCTCTGACATGGCAAATGGAACAATCAACAGAGTGAAAAGGCAACTTATGAAACAGAAGGGAATGTTTACAAACCATGTATTGGTAAGGGGTTAATATCCAACATACATAAAAAACTCACACAACTGAATAGCAAGAAAAAAATCCAATTTAAAAATGGGCAAAGGTTCTGAATCAACATTTTTGCTAAAGACATACAAGTGGCCAACTGGTACAAGGAAAGGTGCTCAACATCACTATTCATGAGGGAAATGCAAATCAAAGCCACAAGGAGGTATCACCTCAGACTTGGCTTTTATCAAAAAGAAGGGCTAACTAACCAGTGTCGGTGAGGATGTGGAGAAAAGGGAATCTTCATACATTATGAGTGGGAAAGTAAGTTAGTGCATCCGTTATGGAACACAATGTGGAGGCTCCTCAAGAAAAAAAAAGAAAGAAAATAAATCTACTATACGATTCCAGCAATCCCACTTCCAGGTATAATTCAAGGCAAACAACATCACTGTTTTGAAAAGGTATCTACTCTCTCACATTCATGGTAGCACTATTTACAATAGCAAAGATATTAAAACAACTTAAGCATCTGTCAAATGATGAATGTGTTGTGGTAGAATGAGCAGCCAGAAGGGAAATGAAGGCAGGGCCCCCACCATTGCAATCTAACGAAGAACTGAACACAGCAGCACAGAAGCAAGGGGAGACATGTCTCGGCCAGTAGTCCTGGCCCGGGTTCCATAAGACTGCCAAGCACTCTGAACAACATAGCAAAACCAGGAGAGTGCAGGTGGGAGGGGCCCTTGAAACTCTGTATCATCTCCACTAGCTGGGAAAAGGAAAACCTTGAGACTGTATATTCATACCAAGGCCTGGAAGGGAGAAAAGTGGGGGCGGTCTACAGTGCCCAAAAGAAAAAGCCCATAAAAAAACTTTGCTTAACTGCCTGCCTCTCATCTTGTATGCAAAATGAACAAATAGAGTCTGCAGCAAGATAAGGATCCAGGCTAACAGTGCTCCCCCCAACACACACACACACACACACACACACACACACACACACACAACTACGTTTGGGTAGTGACGTCACCCAAGAGGGAGAACTGGCGCCGCCTTTACCCATCGATCAATATGTAACTCCCTCACCCCCATCTCACCAACTATGTAAGTCCTCAGAACAAAGGACTTGCTCTCTGTTTGGCCACCTACCTGGCTTCTAGCCACCTGGCCTCTGGCCACCCTTGCTTTAGCTTTTCTATTAGGAGTTAGCACTAACAAACTTTGCTTGCACACTAGCAGGCTTGCTGATCAGTGGTTCTTTACTGTGTTGGCTAGAAGAACCGAGTTTCTGGGAGCTTCTTCTATAACAAATGGATAGGAAGATGTGATACATACTATATATAAAGTGACATATTACTCGGCCACAAGAAAGAAGGGAATTCTACCATTTGTAACTACATAGACAAATCTGGAGGGCATTATGCTAGATAACTCAAACAGAGAGAGAAAAACACCATGTGATACCACTTATATGTGGAATAAGAGAAAAAGAAGTTGAATTCACAGCCACAGTGAGTAGAAGAGTGGTTACCAGGGAATGATGGGTGGAGGCAATGAGGAGATGCTGGTCAAAGGATACAAGTCTTCATTATAAGATGAGCAAGTTCTGGAGCTCTAACATATAGCATGGTGACTATAGTTAATCATACTGTGTTGTGTATTTGAAATTTGCTAAGAGAGTAGATCTTAAGCACTCTCTCACACACATACACACACACACAAAAGTATGTGAGGTAATGTGTTGTAGACCACTCTGCCTGGTTCTAGGAATTGTGTCTCAACCCCTTGTGGCTAAGGGCGAGGGATGACCTTTGGAGTGCCAGCCGCAGGAGACAATGCCTGTCTCTGATAGCAAATGCTGCCTCAGTTCCTCTCCCTGGCCCCAGAGATTGGTCGGAAGCCAATGACAGGTAAGACCCCTCACAGCAGGGGGCAACCTAAGCCAGACTCGATCACTTGGGAGGCCTTCGTGGAAGGACTGGGGGTGGGGGGCTGCAACAAAGAGCAATGGACTCTTGCACCCAGAGCAATGGACTCTTGCACCCCCCAGGTATTGAAATAGCCGGAGTCCCCATGTTCTCCGGGAGAAGCACTTCCTGGCTCTAACCCCCTTAAGCCTGCATACCTGATGGGGAGAGGTGCAGCTCCTTGCCTTGCTAGAGCATGTCCTGGGGAAAAATCTGGCACCACAAAGACTTCCTGATAAACCTGTGAAATCTGCTCTGCTAAGAGTGCTTTCATTCATATGTTAAGGGTTCAAGCAAGAAACCCTAAAACTCTGTTCCTGACAGACTGACTCATAGTAAGCCCTCAGATTTCTTTGAAATGTTATCTATTGTTTGATCCTTGCTGCCCTTTATTCCTTTGTATTAGAACCCAATAAAAGGCACTGGAGGAGGGGGGCTCAAGGCCCTTTTTCTCCTCAGAGAAACTGGCCACTGCTGGCCTTTGTCTCCCCTGAGAAACTGGCCACCAGCCTATGGCTTTTTCCCAGCAGGGAAAATGGCTACACCTTCCCCAAGCAGATCACATCATGTCTCGGTTATATTTACTCTCATCCATGGCACATGGGGGGATTATTTCAGGCTAACATATCCATCACTGTGGGGGTGACTTGCGAGGGAAGTCACCCCCACAGTGATGGATATGTTAGCCTGAAATAATTATTGTACAATGTATACAAATATCAAATCATCACATAGTACACTTTAAATATATACAGATTTGTCAATCATGCATCTGTAAAGCTGGGTGAAGACAAAAATGTGAGGTAACATCGCCAGCAGTGAAACAGGACCTCATCGTGTGCTTCACAGTCTGCTGCACTGGGGCAGACGCTGCTGCATCTCTGTGGAGCTCCTGCCAAAGTGTGTACCCTGGGTCTCCTTACGGGGAAATAGGAGACAAGCCAAACTGAAGAGCACTGTATAGAATAACTGTCCAAAACCGGTCAAGGTCTAAAGTACCAAGGATAACGTGAGGAATCTTTCCAGCTTAGAAAGGAAACAAAGAAAGAGACAACCAGATATGGTGAATGATACCGGATTAGATTATTGATAGGGCTGGAAAGGGGCTTTAAATGGTTTTGGCACAATTAACACATTTGAAGGCAGACTATGGATTAGATGCTAATGTCAATCAGTATTAGTTTCCTAATTTCGATAAATGGTGAAGAGGATCAGGATATTTTCCCCACCTCCTCCAAATATGTCACTTTGGAATAATTAATTTGCGCTGAAGGCATTTGAGTTCCGGAAATTCCTTGTCTGCCTAAAAACAGAACTTCCCTAAAGAACTCAGTTGTCAGGAATTCCCTCCCCTGCAGCAGCTCTGATCTTCTCTTCTGAGGGGAGGAGAAATTAGTAGCACAGCAGGCTGCCGGACAAACACAGTCATGAACTATCTCACCTGCCATCTATTTTCCCAGGGGCCATTTAAGTTCCCCCCAAATCATTTGCTTTCCTATAAGTGCTCTTTCTCCCTCTCCTGTTTCCTTACCAAGTTACGTATACAGACCCCCCAAATCTAATCATCCTTTTGAGGCACTCATCTCTGAATGCTCCCACGTGGATGTGTGATCCCTGTGCTAATAAACTCCGCTCATTTTTCTCTTGTTAATCTGTCTTTTGTTATAGGTCCCCAGCTGGAGAACCTAAAATCAGTAGGAAAGGAAATGATTTTTATTGCCCAACATTAAGAAATGTTTAGGGGTTAATGGGCATGATGTCTGAAACTTGATGGTAAAGATATTTGAGAAAATAATGTGAGAGGAAGTAAATGGGAGCAAAAGGTAACTCACAATTGGTAAATCAGGGTAAAGAGCATGTGTTAGTTTCTTGCACAGCTCTTGGAAACTTTCCATAAATTTGAAATCATATTAAAATAAAATTTATAACAATATCAGCAGGGGATAAAGAAGGATTAATGGCATCAGAAATTCTAACATGTTAGATGTTAGAATGAACATTATTTTTTGACAATAGAAAGTAATACTGGAAGATTAATAAAATGTTGTGTCTTTAAAGAGGAAAAAGCATCATGCACTTGATAGGACTTATGGGAATCAGGTCAGATCATAAATGCAATGACCACACAACAGTAGCTGATTTAGAGGAAAACTGTAGTAAAGAAAAGCTTCACTGCTGGTATTATTAGTGCTATAATTTTCAAAGGCAGTTATTTTCTGAGCTTCAGTGTACTAATTAAAAAAACAATGATACATCTTCTACCTCACAGGGTTTTGAGGGTACTGTGCATTCAGCATTGAGGTACCCTGCCTGACCCCTTACAAGATGGTAGACCCTGCTGTTGTGGGTGGAAATTGGGCTTCACTGGCTAAGGGCCACATGGCTATGGAGAGAGGATATGTGAGTGCAAGGGGGCTGTGTGGGTCACAAGCAAGAGAGGGAACTTCTTTGTCACCCTGGGATTATATTAGGTTGGGTCTGTGATGGATGAGGTGCTTTTTCAAAACAACCAATGACTTCCTAAGCTTTCCTGGGCTTTTGAGACGGTCCCTCCCCCCTAGATAGACTGACAGGCTTCTGGGATCAAGCACCTTCCCCGCCATCTCAGTACTGGAGGGGGGAAGGGAAGGGTGTTAATCCCTTTGGCAGAGCAATGCTGTAATTCCCTAAGGGGTGAAGTTGTAGCTCCCTGGTGAAGCAAACAGGCTCACGCTCCCCAGTTGATTAAACTCAATGTCTAATTCCCTTTGCTCCCCTTTTCTTATTAATAATTAGTTAGCTACCTATGATAACACTATTACTCATTGAACTGGTTCCAGCCTCTTGACAGAGGTCTTTCTTCAACAAACTCATCCAGCATCTGGGAGATCTTTATGCATTTCATTTGCCTATTTTTTCCTCTGGGAAAAGTACATAACCAGGAGAATGAAACTGAGTTATTATAGGTTTTTCTTTATTTCTGGTCACTGAGTTCATCCTCTTAGCCCTCAAGGAGGTGACCTCAATATGTTGTGATCAAACCAAACTGGATCAATACCCTCCTTTGGAATTCTTGGCACATTTCCCATGGCTGGGGACAGCTTATCCCTACCTAGCAGTAATCTATGCTTGTGGTTTCCCTAGAGCCATGGAATTTTATTTAAGTTATAGCCGGCAGGTGGATGTGTAACAGCTACTCTTTAAAAAGCTGTCATTTTTGAGGATGGCTCAGCCTACTTTCTCTCTTGATACAAATTTTTGAAGCAAACAGTGATTATCTGACAAAAAGATTTTTCAAAATATTTAGACATAAGCTTATGAACAGCTTTCAGTTGTTTTCATTCTGAATTTTGTTTTCCTTTTTTTTTTTTTTTTTAAAGATGTTGAGAAATCTTGCTTTCCTTTAGTGCTGGACATTTCCTCTTTGAAGAGACCAATGGAAACTACAGTAAAAATATCAACCACTGGAGGGCAGTATTCTGCTCTGAGTGGACCAAAAAGGTTGACACCTTGAACACTGAGATATTCCTTTGGCAGTGAGTGTACAATGTAAATAAACAGGAGGTGAGAAAACAAATTCCCATGAACAGGAGCTGCAAGAGTCTCCCCTGGGCTTAGGAACTGCAAGTTACCTGATTACTTGGCACAGCCATGCCCTGCTTACCCTCAAGGATTTGTGGGGCTACTGAAAAGTTATGTGTCCCCACGGTATTAATTTATTTCTATAAAATTAGTTTATTCATTGCACATATACTTATTGGCACCTATAATATGTTTAACACTTATTTAGGCACAGGTGACAGCCTTAAACAAAATAAATACAATCCCTGTTCTCAAAGAGTTTATAGTCTGGTTGGGAGGAGACAGGTAAACGAACAAGCAAATACCTACATATCAGGTGGAGTTAAGTGTTACAAGACAAATTAAGCAGGATACTGTGCTGGCTCTCAATAGGTGGCAAGGGGTTGCTGTACTGAATAGAGTGGTCAGGGAAAGAATGTGATTGAGAGGGTCTAAAAGAAGGGCCATTACAAACTGGAGATATCTGATGAAAGTTACCCAAAGGAGAACTGTAAATTCAAAGGCACCGAGATGAGAGCGCGCTGGACATATATAAGGCACAGCTATGTGCAGCTGGTAATTTTTAAAAAGCTGGTTTACCAAAAGCTGCACAAGTGTAAATCAGAATAAAAGAGAACCCTAGAGCTTCTTTACACTGAAGGCCAGTAGCATTTGCCCAGCATTTCCTGTTCTTAGTTAAGAACATAGGCTATGGTCAGATAGATCTTGATTTGAGCTCAGGTTTTGCAACACACTAGCAAGTGCTGACACTTTCACAGACTTTCTGGGCAAGTTACTTAACCTCTCTGTGAGTGGCAGTTCCTTAGAATTATTGTGAAAGTTACGTGAGACCAATGCAAATAAAGCGCTTAGCATTCTACCTGGCATATAAGAACATTATAAGAAACTATGTCATCTGGACTCGTGACAGATAATGTGGTTGTTACTATAAACATAGAGCTCAGTATTAAAGAGAATAGAAGACAAACATAGATGAAGAATGGGCACACTTTAATAAGTAATGAAAATGAATAAAAGCCAGCAATTGCTAAAAATCCCACATGCAAAAATGGGGAGATTATATGAACTATGGAAACATGCACCTAAGATTTTAAAAGTACATATAGTGCACTATATTCTTAAGAAGAGCTTAGTGAGAATCTGGGCAACATCTTAGCTATTTAAAATGCTATTTGGTTGGGGACTATAGAGTCTGCTGGGGTTGGTCTGTTCAAGAGAACATGAATGGATGTTCTAGAATATCTATATAAGAGGGTTTTGATTAAGTGCTAGCAGAGGTCAAGAAACAGAATTTTTGAAGGTCTTTTTTGAAAAGTAAACACTGTTTATTTGAGATCATTGGAGATGGGGGTAGTGGTGATGGAGAACATGGGGGAAACAAAGGCCATTTTTTAGCCTGAATGATGGACCCCCATCAATACCAGTGACCCCAGCTCCCCTTCACACACTCAAGTCACAAGAAAGCCATGACTGGGGAAGAATGTCGTGCCAGGATGACACAGGGCACACCATACCTGTCTTATTAAGTCGCACGAGGCCTTGAGGAATTCTGTTAACGGAAAGAATATACCCATCTTCTGTGGCAACTTCATACTCCTCACAGGGGTAGCCTTGATGTCGGATGATTTCACTCTACAAAAAAGGCACAATTTCTTTTGAGATCAGTTCTGTAAGGCTATATTATCAATTACCCCAAAGTAAAAAAATAGATTTCTTGATGCTGGAAGACATAAACATAAAACTACTTTCTTTACTTTAGCTAATCATGTTACCTCCGAAAAATTAGCCAAGCCTCTGCAGTTCTCATTTTCTCTATCTCTAGCGTGGAGACCGGATTAGAACAGTGGTTTTCCAAGTACCCAGCTTGGACCCAAAACATCAGCATCACTTAGGCACTTACTTGTTAGAGATACAAACTGTCGGTTTCCCCCCAAACCTATTGAATCAGTAATTCTGAGAATAAGGCCCAGAATTGTGTTTAACAAGCTCATTAGGAAATTCTGATGCGCTCTAACATTTGAGAAACCCCGGACCAGAGCACTGACTCCAAACCTGGGTGTGGGTCACAATCATCCGGGACCCTGAACCCCGCACAGGCTCCCGGGCCTGCGTGGAGCTGGGGACCACGTGATTTCAATGCAGCCAATGGGGCACTTGCCTTATGAGAACACCTGGGCAGTGCCTTTCCCAATTCCTTTTCAGCTCTAAAACCGCAGGCTCCACAGCAGTAGTTCTTAACATTTTTAGGTCGAGAATCCCTCAGTGAATTTGAGGGGCTTCAGATTTCTTGTTGCCTATGTACGAGCCGTGGTTAAGGACCCCTATTCTGTGCAGTTGTTATAGGTACAAACGGGAAAATATGAAGCCGCAGGGATCTCCCAAGTATTCTCACCGTTCTTGCCCATTGGAATCATCTAAAGAAGGGGGGAGTTATTTCTATCAGCTGCTGCTTTAAAACGAAGAAAAGAGGAAAAAGCCAGGTGCCAAATATCCTTTGTAGTACGATATATAAGGTCAAAGGACACAGTAGTTAAGAGGAAGTCCCTAGGGTCCCATTGCTTGAATTTTCATCCTGGCTTTAACAGTAAACACAAGCCAGCTACATGATCTTGGGAAATTTATTTAACCCATCTCTATTCTTCAGTGTATTTGTGCATTAGGTGTACCAGTGATTTGTACTCCACGCAATTTTTACAGAAAGATGCTGCACATAACTGAGCTACCTGGCATTTAGTCGGTACTAAATGGCCATTGGCTACAACAACAATTAAACATCATCCCCATGTGTTCAAGTAACTCCTTTTATCTTTCAGACTTCAGGTAAGAAAAAATGTTCTCAGAACAACTTTCCCAAATTGCCAGGGTCAGGTGTCCCCTACTTGGTTTTTGTCTCTGGTTTTTCTGTTCTAGTCATTGGTAAAGGAGTGTCCCTCTTCCCTGCTGGATTGTCATCCCTACAAAGCAAAGCCTGTGATATTCTTAGATCTTTCTGTAACTCGGTGCATAGCACAGTAGCAAGGGTCTAATAGGTGTTCAGTTAAACACTTCCTAGGAAAATACACAAATGAAGTTGATTTTATACCAACATATAGGATAGATTATATCCATATAAATCAGTATACAGAGTCGAACCCATTTAGGCTCTGAACTACATTTCTTTGATTTATACCAGCAGCCATACGAGTCTCCTATTTTACTTTGCCTGCCCATGCTTAACTGCTCAATGCCAGAATCCAATTCAATGATTGCTAGTTTGGGGGCTCCCAGAGCTCCAGCAGGGTCCGAGTGCTGTGCACACACCATGGGCTAGGCTCAGGGAGACTGGCTCCGCCTGCAGCAGCAGAGATTCCCGTCACCCAGAAGCCCAGAGGAATCTGTGCGGGACCTTCTCAGGGCCAGAGGATGGCTCCTGAGGAGCTACAACTGCTTGCTAACTATCTGGACAAACCAAAAGGCAGGCAGTCTTTGGAATGATCAAAAGAAACCTGATATTTGGCATCACGTAGATGCAAAATATTTCTATGATCTGTTAGAGTTTTAGAATCCATTTAGAAGAAGCTTCTGTAAAAAGTGTCTTAAGGCTGTGTTACAGCAAGTGAACTTTATGACAAATCTGTGGATCATGAACACTACACACAATCATGTCCCTCCTCCTTCTCACTGGGGAGGGTTTGTTTCATGCTGGTTATAATTATATGACTGGGCAGGCCTGCTTATAAATCTGTAGCTCTACCACCTACCAGTGGTGTGGCCTAATTTAAGTTGCTTAATCACTTTAATTTCAGTTTCTTGATTTGAAAAATGGGGTTGATCATATTTACTGAATAGGGCTGTGAGGATTAAATGAAATGATCATTTCTGCAGCTTTCATCACAGTATCTGCTATGGGGTGTTACCCCATATGTCAGATATTATTAAAACACAACCAAGATTTGAAAGTAGGCCAAAAAATTATCTGGGATACATAAAGATATGTATTAATTTTACCCACAGGAGGCCCTCTCTAGCAATCACTAGGGTTCATTTATTTATTTCTGTCAACACAGTTACCAGTTCAAAATAAGATAATAGGAATACATGGTGCCGGATGCTACTAGAAGTGGCTGCCCTCATGGTAAGGAGGGGGGAAACACCTTTCTAATATGGGATAAAGTAGGAGAACAAATAAAAGCACAGACAAAAGGAATATGGAGGGTCTGGGCTTGGCCCAAGATACTGCAATGATTTCCCTGCTCATAGAATGAATCTATGAATGCAAGACAAAGGTAGATTGTGTTGGAAGCCCAAAGGGATTAAGTCATTGGATTAAGTCATCAGCCCAAGTATACTGAGTTAGTTTGAGGAGACCCCAGTCTATTCTCACTTTGTTTAGCAGTTTAGCACCATCCAGTACAATATATTAATTTGTGACTACTCTGCTAGCAAAAATCACCACCGTGCATAAATACAATACATAATGCAGGTAATACACAAATGCAAACATTAACACACTAGGCACTTCATTTCCCCCAAAACATGATGAAAAATCCCAACTTACAATATTCATGAACGCTTCAGGGTCCACATCTTTAGTCGGCATGCGTACTGAATCCACATTCCTTTGGAACAAGTGTGCCACCAGAATCAGGACCCACATCTCAGTTCTGTGCGAAACAATCCACTCTCTTGACAAGATTTTTGACATGGTCCAACATCTGCATTTATGTTTTCCTGGCAATAGAACAACTGATGCTGAAGTCAGAAGGATCTGTAGGTTTAAAAACATAGATTTTCCAGCTGTAATTCCATCCCCAAATTCTGGAGCAAATTAAATAAGCTCTGTTGGTAGGAACGAAAGAACACAAAGTTAGGGTGGAAACATCAGCCAGGATGCCCCAACAGCATCTGGCTCCTCCCACTCCCTCACACAACTTGCTGTTACCAACCCTTGAACTTGAGGGTGTGTGAAACTTTCTCTGACGCAACTGCAACCTGAACTGATGTGTATGTGATACCACCCATAAAACCCCTGTGCTTCATCATCAGGTGATGAGAACACAGGGAGCATCTTTTTCTTTTTTCTTAGTTTTTACCTTTCTTTGACAGGTAGAAAGGTATGGAGTCTGTAGAAACTATTACAAGTTTCTACAGTCACATTCTAAAGCTTCAATGACTAGTCAGGAAGGTCAGTGTGGAATTAAGTATTTTTATTTGATATGTCAAAAACTTTAGAGCATTTTCTATTTTTAGAGATGGGTGAGAACACTCAGAAGAAAATGAGTCTTCTCTGTTTAGGCCATTTCTGTCAGGTTCAACTACATACACATGTATAAACATTTTTATTTTGCATTGCAGTTAATTGCTGTGAGATTAATTTGAAGGATAATTAAACTCTCTTCAATAACTAAAGTGAGTGGCAGCCTGGTTGTTGTCATTGTGCAGCAATGACAGCCATTCCTCAGCCTACTAATATGGGAGCAGGCCAGGAGAAGGGAATCTGTGTCATTTTAAGTAAAGAATGTGTTCACATTTAAGAAAAAATATTATTTAAAGTAAAATTTTTTTTTACTTTTACATCAACCCTTTTGGATTGAGCTAGCAGCAGCCACACTGGCTTGTAGACTTTCGGAATGTGGTTGGTGAAGGAGCCGAAGCCGGAATAGGAAATGGTGAGTCTGTGAGAGAGTATCTGCCCAAAGTCTCAACCTCACCCACTCTGGGCTGGCTGCGCCTAGGATGAGGCAAGCCTGCAGCTCCTGCCTGGAAGGATTTCAACATCCCCACCGTTGTTGATCTGATGCACGCTAAGGAGGAGTGAGTTGACCTACTTTAGGGGAACAGAGGGAGCGCTTGTCTAACTCTGCAGAGTCCCATGTCTTAGTACCCACTGAGCACACTCTGGAGTTGTGTATGCAACGTGGAACTGGAGAAAGTGACTTTGGCGCCTACTGTTGACATTTTAGGATTTTTAAATGTTATATAGGCAGGTGGAAAGAAAACCTCATTCAGTTTTTTCATTTTTAGAAATGTGAAGACATGTTAAATGACTTGCCCAATATTAGCTAGTTAAGTAGTGGCAAGGCCAGAATGAAAATTTAGGTATTTTAATTCCTTGTTTTAGGATCGTTACCACAAAAGAGAGAATGTAATGTTTCAGTACCCTCTTCCGTATTCGAGGGCAATGGCCCACATACAATGAAAAGCAATTACATCAGTCTCAGTGAATTGTCTCTTTGAAAGTTCTCTCCTGGATTTAAAACTTAAAATAATTCTTTTTAAAATTTTTTTCTCTTATTTTTATTTTATTTTATTTTTTTTTCATTTATCTTTAGAAGGGAAGGGAAGGAGAGAGGGAGAGAAATATCAATGTATGGTTGCTTTTCCCTGTATCCCCAGCTGGGAACTGGCCCCTGCTGGGAACTGGCCTGCAACCCAGGCATGTGCCCTGACAGGGAATCAAACTGTGATCTTTTGGTTCACAGGCCCACACTCAATCCACTGAGCTACACCAGCCAGAACATAAAACTTTAAATAATTTTTAATAATTTTATTATAATTTTGAGAGATACAATCTACTCACATATACTTCAATATATTCAGATAAGATCAACTCCCATACTGGATTAATATACTTGCGAGTATTGTACAGGCATTACAAAATGAATCGACACCCATAAACTGATTTATTCAGAAAGAATCCTATGTTTTTCGTAGTAGGACAACTTCTCACCCCACCTTTATTTTTCATCTTTTGGAAACTGACCTGAGTACAAGCATAATACTGAGAAAATAGAATTCAATTTGTCCCTCAACTTCTTGGGTAGCTTTATAAGCTTACAACTGTCATTTTGGAAGCAGGAAAGTGACATCCTAAGTCCAACTCAAAGAGCTACGTTTCGAACAATTGTTAAGTAAGTACAGTTCTTCCCCGCTGCAGAATTTTAACAGCAACGTTATCACCTTAGAAACCCACAGCCCATGAAAAACATCACTGACACTGTAAAGAGAGATGGAGAGTCCGAATGTGACACCGTGAGCGCCAGCGTGGAATTATCTGGATCTTAGAGACTTCCCTTCAGAGGCTTCTATTGAGAAACTATACGCCCTTTTAAATGGCTGTTGTTGATGACGCTGTTGTTACCATCGAACCATCTCTTCATTGTCTGTGTCTGTGAGGTGTGCTGAGTTGTGCATATGTGTTCTTTGGTCTCCAACATCTTGAAACTAACAAAACAGGCCTTGACTAATGTGTATTGCCTATAAATCAATTATATATCAAAATTGCATAAAAGCAACAGGCCAAATAGGAGAGAGGTCGAGGAAAAGCTTTCTAAGAAAATAGTGAACAGAGGATAAGATGCAGCCTTACCCATCAATGTACTGTGTGTAAAAATGATAATCACTGAAACAATTAAAACAAATAAACAAAACAGGACAGAACAAAGAAGTGAACAAACCATAACATAAGGGTTTAAAAAAAAAAGTAAAACAGGAACCCTGAAACTGGGAGAGAATTTCTACTTTCTGCTTGAGTTGCCAGTTAGTGCCGCTCTCCCATGATGTTGAACTGGGTTTATGAAAACAGTTCTTTAGGTTTTATAAACAGAAGCCTTGACTGCAGCAAAGGCCATGTCAAGAAATTTGTCTGCAAGTCCAATTCAATGCTCTTGTCACAATTGTTCTACGATCAAACGACCAAAACACTCGCACGGATCAAGCTCCTGCCCTACACCCCTCCTGGCACGAGTGACCTCTCAGGAGACTCCAAGCCTTCATGCAAGTGGACCTGTGCTTCATCTGCCCTCACACGCTGGCAGACATGCCTGAACACGTATGATTCTCATTTGGACACCAATCAATTTTTCCCAGGAATATTAATTGACATGTGATGGTTCTTTTTTTATGGTTTTTCTTTAAAGAAAAATAAATAACTATTTTAGAGTAAAGTCATTAACATTCGAAGTAGGTTTAGTTAAATTAAAAATTTATAAGTTTGGGGAAATATTTTAAACATTACTGCAAAACAAGATAACCATGTATTTATGTTTATGCTTAGGCAAGATTTTAAAACAATAATTGGACAATATCAATGTTGCTTGGATTATAGAAGGCTTAAAATTTTTGCGATGTTAATTTCTAAAAACATCAATACTTATACCCTAAACTTACCACAGAAATTCTAGAAAATTAAAAAATATACAGTATGATTCCATTAACTTAAGATATTTCTAAAAATTTATCCATTATAGTGTAAAAACTACATAAATTGATACAATTAAAACAAACATTAAAAAAGTAGTAACTAGAGGTCTGGCTGGTATAGCTCAGTGGATTGAGCGTGGGCCTGTAAACCAGAGGATTCCCAGTCAGGGCACATGCCTGAGTTGCAGGCTGGTTCCCAGTGGAGGACACATGAGAGGCAACCATACATAGGTGTTTCTCTCCCTCTCTCCTTCCCTTCCCCTCTAAAGATAAATAAATAAAATCTTTTAAAAAAGTAGTAACTGGAGTTTTAAAAATAGTAAAACAAAAACCCTTGAAACTCGGAGGTAATTCAATTTTGTTATCCAATTTGTTGAAATGTAATTGCCCATAGTAGTACTTATGATCTTTGTATTTCTGTAGTATCAATTGTAATGTCTCCTCTTCCATTCTGATTTTATTTGACCTATCTTGTTTTTGTTAGTCTAGCTAAAGTTTTATCAATTGTTTTCTCTTTTTTAAAAAATGAATTCTTAGTTTCATTGATTTTTTTGTAGAATTCATAAATAAGTGATTATATGGAACCATAAAAGAGCCCCCAAAGCCTCAGCAATCTTGAGAAAGAAGAACAAAGTAGGAGGGATCACATTATCTGATTTCAAACTATATTACAAAGCCACTGTAACTAAAACAGTCTGGTACCAGCATAAGAACAGACACATAAATTGATGGAGCAGAATAGAGAGCTCAGAAATAAACCCATGTCTTTATGATCAATTAATACTGACCATAAAATCAATTAACAAGGGGTCAGAAGCATAAAATGGAGTAAAAATAACCTCTTCAACAAATGGCATTGGGAGATCTGGATGGCTACATGCAAAAAAATGAAACTCAAGCACAAACTTACACCATCCACAAAAATAAACTCAAAATGGATAAAAAATTAAATATAAGTCATGACATCATAAAAGTCCTAGAGGAGAACATAGTAGGAAAATTGTAGACATCCCAGGCAGCAATATTTTCACCAATATGTCCCCTAGAGCAAGGGACATAAAGGAAAAATTAATAAATGGGACTATATCAAATTAAAAAGCTTCTGCACAGCTAAAGAAAACATCACCAAAATGAAAAGGGAAACCAGCCATGTGGGCAAATATATTTGCCAGTGACACCTTGGACAAGGGTTTTATCTCCAAAATATATAAAGAACTCACACAACTTCACTCCAGGAAGACAAACAATCCAATTAAAAAATGGGCAAAGGACCTGAACAGACACTTCTCCAAGGAGGACACAAAGAGGGCACAGAGACATATGAAAGGTTGTTCAGCATCACTAGCCATCAGAGAGATGCAAATTAAAACCACAATGAGATACCACTTCACACTGGTCAGAATGGCCATCAAAACCAAATCAAAAAACAACAAGTGCTGGTGAGGTTGTGGAGAAAAGACAACCCTAGTGCACTGTCGCTGGGAATGCAGACTGGTGCAGCCT